TCAAGTAGGGTGGAGTTTGTGGGCTGGTGGAAGGGAAGTGCAGTTACAGCTGGGTACTCCAAAGTCTTACTGTCACTGACTTTCTGCTTTGTTCTAGATCATTAGTGAAGATGTTCTGAAGAGTACCTGTGATGCTCATCAGCTCTGCATCATTTCTGTCCTGCCTCACATTCTTGACACAGGTAGAATTCAAGGAAGCAGTCTTCTATATGAACTTGTCACCTAAGGCATGTGGTTTTGTATTTTAATTTGTGCAATTCTGTCTGGCAAACAGGAGCCTCAGGGAGGAATTCTTACTTGGATGTCATGTTAAAAATGGCTGAAAAATACAAAAAGAAAATGTGGGGGTAAGTGTCGTCGTAGGTTGGGCTGGTCCTCTTGGTAGAGATGGGAGATTTTGAAAGAGGCAATGGAAGAGAACATTGCGTGATAGGGATTCATCTGCAAATAGTTGTTCCTTTTTCAGGTTCTCACACAGTGATATTTTTCCAACTGTACCTAGTGTTGTTGTAGGGATGAACACATCTTGTTCTGTGAAGTCATGGCAGAATGAAACCTAAGTCTGCTTAGTGAGTCCCTGGATAACTCTCAAGACTGTCAGGGCAGGGGGCATTAATGGCTCTAAAATGGCTAGGTTTTTTTTTTCTTGCTTCTTTGCCTTCCTTTTCACATCATTTATAAGTAGAAGGTGATATCTAAACATTAATGAGATCAGATGAAGCATATTTTATTGTTGTCCCGAACACTAAAATATTTCAGTGAATATTTAATTTCTTTGGCACCTTTTGCTGGCAAGTGTCCCTCTGTTACTGTTGGTTTATGAAGTACAAATGTAAATGGCGGTCTGTTAACAACATATTTCACATTCCTAAAGGAGCAGGCCATAAGACTTTGCCTCTTCTTTCAGAGTGCAGGTTAGGATCTGTGAGACTCTTCTCTTTTCCAGAAGTCAACAGTTTTGCTGAAGAGGGAATGTTAGATAGGGTTCTTTAGAAAGTAAGAGCTGTTCTGACACAATGACTGCTCTGAAAATGGGACAAAATGGCATTCATGCTTTGGAGAGAAGTGCTGAGATTCGAGGAACTGAGGCTTCACCAATGAGGAAGTGACACTGGGTGAAAATGTTGGTTTTCCGGTCTTTGGCCGAAAATCCTCTGCAGTGGGAATTGGGCAGTGCTTAGTCAGGTTTAGATCTGTTCTTTGGGCCCTAGCCTTACTTAGTGTAGGTTGGAGTATGGCAATTTGTGAAGTTGGTAATACGGTTCTTGACTTGGAATGTCTTTCATACTTGTTCTTCTGATCTGGCTTTCAGTAGTCATGAGCATGGAGCTGGCCTCTACAGGTGCTGTTCATGAAGGGCTTTCTTCTGCATGGGTCAAAATCAGGACCCTGCTATCCCCTGTTGACTTGAATAACAAGAAAGTGAGAGGGGGGGTAATGCTGTGAGGCAGTTCATACACCAGCACAAACTCTGCAGGGCTTCAGGATATATGTGATTCTGGAACAGCTGTACTGACTTTGCTAACTAACTTCTGTTTCGTTTTTTTCCCCGAGATGGTTGTGGACAGAAGCCGGTGCTCAGTCGGATCTGGAGAGCTCTTTGGGGATTGGAGGCTTTGGGTATCCGGCAATGGCAGCTGTTAATGCACGGAAGATGAAATTTGCCCTTCTGAAAGGATCTTTCAGTGAGCAGGGGATTAATGAGTTTCTCAGGTATTAAATGTTTCTTTAAATCTTTCAGTAACTGGGGCTGTGGCTTTAGCGCAAGAACAGGCTGTCCTGGATGAGATAAGGCTTGCATATTTAAAAGTATTCAGATGATAGGTATCCATTGGATTAAGGGACTGACTTAAGTGGGATTGGACCTAGTAAAGCAGTCTTCCATTTTTTTTATGGTGGACAGGAGTAGTCAAGAAGCTGGCCATTTGCAGTCTAACCCCGAAGGGGTTTTAATGACCATTCAAAAATAGAAAAGTTATCTTTGGTCTTGAGGAATTCTGCTTCTCTGGTAACAAAGGAATCCATAGCATTTGGTAATAATAGTATTTCATTCAAATGGTGCATTCTGGTTAATATTAGTAAATGGGTAGATCCTGAATTGAGAATTGTAAACCATGTCACTTCGCAATGATATAAGTGAGCCTGAATCAGTGTTGTTTAGGTTTTGTTTGTTGCTAGCCATCTTTCTGCAGCCTTCCCTCTCCCCCCTGTCCTTCTGACGTTAGACTTCTGGTGAACTGCTCTGGAGAGCTGAACCAATCCAGCCAAAGTTTGAATGGTTTTCTCCTCAGTGAGTTCCCTGAACCAGCCTCTTGCATAATCAGGGGAGAGCCAGTGTTGAGCAGAATTGAATGGGAAAGAAAATGGGAGGGCAAGGCAGCAGCATTGCTGAATCAGAGCAGTTAATGTTACTGGAACACAAAGTGAGGCGTTTGGTTACTGCAGCTCCCTGCTTCTGGATAAAACCCCAGCTGCCAAAAGGTTTGTTAAAGGCTTTGAGAATCCATGTTAGCAGTGATAAGCTCCAAGTTCCTGCTTGGAGAACGGCAGAAGACAGTCATAATTGCAAAAGCAAATGTAACTGAATGTATCGCCTTAGCATAGGAAGCACATTAATTGATCCCTGTTCCTGCTGGATTCATGCAAAGGGTGTTATATTGTTTTATTTATTTTATACATACATAAATATATGTGCAAGACATCAGGTTTTTCTTAAGACAATGCCAAAAAGGAAAGATTGAGAGGATTAAGTGAAACTTAGGATTCAGAGGCAAGAAGAGCATACCAGACAGTCTGTACTAATGCATGTCAGAGAAATGTCTGTTTTCAGACATAGCAAATTCTCTTCGGTTGTAAAATCTGTCTTAGTGAAACTTCTCCTGGCCAGCATGGTTAGTGCTTCCAGGGCAGAGCAACCAATTTAACAGTTTATTAAATTAGACGATTGCATTGACATTCTCTTACTACAGAGCAATACTTTGTGGAATAATTTCTTCTTTTACACTTGAGCTCAGCAGTACTGCCTTATAGGAAAAGCAGTGCAGTCACAGTTAGTATAGGTGGCACTTAACTCTGTAAACTGAATGCAGTTAGGATTTATAATCTAATAGGTGGTATCCAGTGTTGACCGAAATCAAGAACATCAGCACTGAGAAAAGCACAAAAAAATGGTAGACTCCATCTAGACAGGAATACTTATTCAGTTCGATTTGCCACTGAAAGAATACAAAGGGAATAGCTCTTCAGTGTGTTAAAATGTTGGGTTGCTTAAGCCTAAGTAGCAAGTGCAAGTGGGATGCCTGAAAGGAGAAGCTGGTTACTTTGAGTTCCTTTGTAACCAGCATATGTTTAGAGTCAGACCAAAAAGAGAAACTTAGTGACTGGGTATTTTTCAGTAACAGCTGTATAAAACCAGTAACTCCCAAAACTAAGCCAGCTCCAAGAACAGTCTATAATTTAACCATATGGTGTATATCACATAAAGAGGCTGCATTTTTCCATGAGTATTACTAGGGAAGCTGCTGAAATACAAAACCATTTAGCTCACAAATAAAGTTGTCTTTTTAAATCTTTAGATCTAATTGAAAGCTATCAATACTGCTTTCAGGATTCTTTTTTTAATCATTCTCTGCTTCTCAATTTGAAAAGCTACTGCTTTTAGACAGTTTAGATTGAAGATCTGCAAGCTAATCAATTGACTTCCTTTTATCCAAAGCAGGCCCTGTTCTAGGTGGTTGGTGATCGAAGGAATTCTTTAAACCTAATTTTTACTTATTTCTTTTTAGGGAACTCTCTGTTGGCCGTGGCTCTACCGCACCAGTGGGTGGTGGAGCTTTCCCTAAAATTAATGCAGTTGAACCCTGGGATGGCAAAGATGGTGAGGTAAGAGATTCTCCATCTTCAGAAGTACTGTTGCTTTGCTAGGTTGGGAGGTAACTGGACAGAGTGTTATTAAGAACAGGTACTACCAAAAAAATCTTTTTTTTCTTCAGGGTAAGATTGTAGCAAATCTCACTACCTAAGTCTTACCAGAACACCAAGAAGAAACAGAACACCACTTTGGTTGTCTGACACTATGATAGACAGTTACTCCTATCTAGCACTTAAGATATGATCTGAAAATTGAAACCCTTGAGGGAAACTTGAGTTATTAGCCTGTGCTGGGTAATGGGGAGGCTGCAGTGTATGCATGCAAGACCTGAAGCCTGCAGAAACTGATTCTGCAGTACCAAACCACTGACCTTGCCACCAAAGTTTTGCTGTTGGAAAGTGCATAGGTAAAGCCTGCATAATAACACAATGCTTGAGTAAGTTCTTGTTTAAGGCTTGACGCCAGCATGAAAAAAGTCACTACAATCTCTTGATCTCCTTTGATGGAATTAAAATACAGAAGATGGTGATAATGCTGTTACGTATTCTATTTGTAATTGCTTTTTTATATCTGGAATACTTGTATTAGTAGAAAATACCCTTTTTCCAGTCTTAACTCTGAGAACTTGGCCTGTATTTAGTACCCTTTGAGCTTTTATGAATGGAAGATAGGACAGGAGTGATTAAGCCCATGGAGGGAGCTTTGCCTCTAAAATGAGAGGTATCCTTCAAAGTCAGTGGTGTCGCAGTGTTACTAGGTGCTTCTGAGACGCTTACTCAAAACCCTCACCTTTTTCACAGCTTCCCGTGGAAGATGATATTGATCTCAGTGATGTGGATCTTGATGACTGGGATAAAGATGAGCTGTGAGATCTTCAGGAAACTTCTTTTCTTGGGAAGAGTTTGTGCAGTGGTTTGCAACCTGGTTCACAATCAGATGGATTTTCCAGTGGCCTTTCTATGGAGAAGTAGCACATGACACTGTGCTATTTGATCCACTGCAGCAGTGAACTGTACGCATCTCAAGAAAACATTGCAAAAATTCTATGAATTGTTGTAACCAGTAAACTTGATTGTATTCTGTGTAACAAATATTTTGAGGACAACATGGATCTTTGAAACATCTTGGGTTTTTTTTTTTTTGAGACAGTATGTGCTATTTGAATGTTATTGAAGGTTAATGTAGCTGATTTTAAATGTGATTTTTTTTTTTTCATTGAGGTGGAACCTGGTCAGCTTCTGTTTCAATTAAAGAATAAAACAAAATATTTTTGACACAGTGTTAGTCTTGTACAGAGTAACAAGGGTGCACATGATAAAAACTATCCAGGTTTGGATGACTCTTGAAAAATGAATTGTAGTACAGAGAGGCTGGTGGAGAGTGGAGTCCTAAACCACCCCCCTGCTGTGAAAGATCTTCAGTGGTTTGGCCTAAAGCCTGATTAGACAATCTTAGTTTAAATGCTCTTTAGTCTTCCTTTACCTCCTCCTTCTCAGGGGCTTTCTCTTTCTTTGTGTCAGAATTGATATGATCGTTAATACAACAAAAGTTGGGTTGCTGCTCAAATGGGAGATGCATCTAGTAGAAACTGGTGCTGAACTGGGTGCTGTCGGTCTTTCCCGAGGGTTAGCAGTGAAGCTAATCCCATTTTATGAAATGGCTAGAGAAGTTGCTGTCAGAAAAGAGTTGAATTGCTGTCTCCTGTAAATTTGATATTTCTTCACTTCCCATCAGTATTTAATAAAAAAATACTGTGGTATTACTGCTGCTTTGCGTATCACTGTCTAGTGAAGTGACCCTTGTATGATCAGCCTAATTTATAAGAAGAATGAAAAAACTGGATGTTCACATGCTTTCATGGAAATAATTTCATATGGATATTTGTAACCCAGTGTTCTCTGTAAGAGAGTGCCTTTTATAGGGATGAGCTAAGGGCAACGTATGTAATGGCTGCTGGTAGCAAATGAAAATTTGACCACTGATTTGGGACAGGAAATACATGCTCTGCCTCTAAGCTCTCCCAGCAGACAAGCTCTAATGAACATGTTTTTGCCAAGACACTTCAGTTGAAACTAAACTTGCGAGTACTGGGGACTGTAAGTAACGTTACAATAAGTTATACAGCAGTCTTTGAAGATCTGACTTCTTAACCTTTTTAAGATTAAAGCTTGGGGTTTTGCTCTGATGCTCTCTACTTCTGTTTTTAAGTCTGCTTTGTTTATAAAACCATGACTGTACACACCTAGTAAATCCATTAGCCACCATGCTCTTTTTTAAAATTCATTTTATTTCAAGTCCACTAAAGATTCCATCTTTGTAACTTACCAAAAAACAATAAATGCTACCATAGTACCTTTTGCCTCTGAAATGTTTTCTGAAAACCGTGAACCAGAGCCACTTATACTGAAGTCATTTTAAATTATTGGAATTGTTAGGAAAGTCTTTACACCGTTATCCTGCTACTGAGATACCTGCATTCTAATTTCTTTTTTTTTCAGCAGCAGAAGCTTCATTTTACTGTAACATTAGAAGCTTGGAAATGAATAGATTTATGTTTGAGCAAATTTTTTTTTCTTTCTTAGCTGCAATCAAGAAGACTGAGGTCAATCTTGAAATAGACATATGGATAGTATTCTTGGTTATTCAGTTGTAAACCAGGGATGTCCACGCCAGGCTGTAAAAGGAGACAGTATTACTTTAGTACCAGAAAGTAAACTTCCAGGGCAGTCAGTTGCTTTTGCACACCCCTGTTGGTAGGTGGAATGGATTCTTGTATTTGCTTAGCACCTGGCGTTCACCATGTGAATCTAGTGCGTGCTTGGTGTTTTTAGGCTGCCTAACACTTTCTTCTAATGCGGTCAGCATTGAGAGTTCACCTTTGGTTGCGTTGTCCTCCCTTCATGCATTGTCAGTCTTAACGCTTGCCTGTTCTTAAGCTGTTTTAACTGTGGTGGTTTATCCTTACGAGGATAATCTTTTGTGCACTTGAGAGATGGGGAGGGAGAAAGCAAGTATCCCTGCTGAAGTCCTAGTTGAGAAGTCTGTCTAGTCAGTGACAGCCCTCTACAGAAGAGGGAGCTCTCATAGTCTCAGCATTTGGTCTGGATTCATTTGTGTTGCTTGCATTTGTCTGAAAGTTTATAGATAATATTTCTACCTAGACAAGCTGCCATAATGGAACAGACCCAGATGTAAACATCAGATACTTCAAAAGAAAGTGTAAATAATCTGTGTGATCATCTGCCTCTACCTGTCATCCTAATAAATCTATAACCACCAGTGGTTGTTGCAGCTGCATCCAGGGATGCTAGCACTGCAAGGTGTGAGGGGTTGCTTGCTCTAACCCCTGAGTTATGAAGTGTTCTTTTGGCTAAACTGTGACAATCTATAACAAATGCAGTTGTAGTCCAAATACATACATCCATGATACTTGCTGCTGCGACTTCATCCAGGTGTTTGAAGACCACATTTAGGACATCTCTCAGGCGTTTTATGGACTTCCTGTTTGGCTGCAGCAACATTGCCTGGAAATTTACTGGGAGGCCATACCTTAAAACACATCGATGTGCACAATCATTTCCTGGGAGGAGGCACACCTTTCCACTCCTGCCATTCTCCCTCCTCAGTCTCCTGGCATTCTAGCTGATTGTTTCTGCATCACCATGACAGAATCTCAGTTGTGTTGTGATGCCTCCTTACCTAAACACGTTTTCTTTCTGAAGCCATAAGGGAACTAAACGGTATCTTTGAGTTTCCCCCTTCACTGGAAGCACTCCTAAAGAACTCTAATTGTTGTCAACTTCATACGTCACCTTCTTTCTTGATGGCCACCTGTATTGTCTCCTCTCGGCTCCTGGTACCGTGTGTGTAAAAGGGATGTCCTCAACCCATGGATGAACAGCCCCAGGAAGTGAGCTGTGCATTTTGACTTCTATAGGAATCTCTCTCTGCCAGCCTTGCATGTTTACCCACTTACCTCAGGACAGATTCAACAAAAACTCTCAAGGCTTTCACATGAATCCAAGCCACGAATGCTTCACTGAAGTTCACTTTCAGCCAGCGCAGCAGTGGACCCTATGAAAGCAGACATAACAATGCTGTGATCCCTTTGCTGTGTGAAGTGGCTCCACAGCTCACACCATTAAAACTATGATGGGCTGCTGAAGTTACTTCTGAGGCAGCCTGGCATTGGTTCTCAGCTTATCAGAAACTTGAGTGACCTTGGGAGGGTTGTGTTATCTACCCTGTGCCTCAGCTTTCTGTGCGAAATGGAGTTCACAGGAATCTGTGGGGAGTGAGGGCTGCTTAGGTGCACTGGTAACAAAGGCTGTTAATAGACAGGCTATCAACTGCATGCACTACTTACATACTGTTGCTTCTTATCGGAAGCTAATTTCATCAGCTCTTCTTTTTCACATTTCAGTTCTTTCTCATCAAAATAAAATTCTCGAACCATGAACCTATAATTGAAGGACATTTGTTCTCACAATCTATATTCTATGTGATATGCACACCCATTTCTTTTGCCTCTGGAGAAGCATGCATGGGATGTTTTGAAGTTGCTAGTCATTTAACCACATTAAAGTATGTGGAAGATGGGAGCTAAAGTTACCCCTAGAAAGCAAGAATGAATCTTCCAGCTGCTGTGTAGCAGGAGAGAAAGAAGACCAATTCCAGGATCTGTAGTTTGGGACTTGAAGAATGAATTTACTGTATCCACTGTCACAGTGCTTTCCCACCCTATTTTCTCAGTGGCTTTAGGGTCAGCAGCAGCCCCAACAGCAAAGCAACTTTAAAAGCAGTGATGCATTTGACTGTTCTGCACAAAGACCAGGCCTCAGCTTATCCTCATCATCTGCTAGCCTGGCCTGCTAAGCAATCAGTGATTGTTACCTGTTCTCTCTGGCTTTAGCCTTGAAGTCATCCATCACTTTTCTAAATAGGGTTACTGTGAAGAGTCCTCCCTCTGCATCTTCAGCAATCATTCTGCAGGAGGGAAATTCACTGCTGTGATGTGGCATGACAAATCCCTCACGTCTTGTTCATGTTCCCCTTTTGCAGTTCTTTTTTTCATTCATGATACTGAATGATACCCTGCTTTTCAAGATCTGCTGTGACTGAAATAGGGAACAAAGACTTTAGTAGCATCAGCTACGGTATTTCAAATCTAGATGTCGATGTACCCATCGTAGTGTACACACATGCTCTGCTTGTCTGCTTTTTCTGTGTCTCCTGATAATCTTCCTGCACTTTCTGTGTACTTGCGTCTTTGAGACAGTGGCACACAGCTGTCTTCTTCCCATTCTCCCTCCATGTTTTCTTCTTCCTCCATTTCAGATGATATCGCTGACAACTCTTGTGCCCTGGATTTGATCTCATTATATACTTTGATCTGAGCAGTGGAATATCTAATTTCTAGTAAGGAGGTTTTAGTCCAGGTGAAAGGATAAGTGTTAATGGAGCATTTGCCGATATAAATAACAGTTTGGAAATTAAATTAAGCTTTCTACAGCAGGAAGCAATTAAAGATGCAAGAATAGTGTTTGGTCTCTGTCAAAGTGGTTTCTGTCAAGTTACATGTGTTTACGTAAGTCTGAATTTGGCCTGGATTACTGTAACGTTGTTTGTCTGCTTTTCACAGAAGGCAAATGGTTCACCCTGTTTTTTTGGTGAATATTGAAAGCAGACAGAACTAGATTACTGGAAAAAGGAACAACAAGCTAATTGGAAAAAAAAAAAAACAATCTTTTTTTTTTCCATTCATCTATACTTTCCTTCAACTGAGCAATTTCCAATTTCAGTCAAGGTTGCAGCAGAAATGAGATTAGGCAAATCTGTATGTTAACATGGAACCCAGGTGTTAGACAAATATTCCCTCCAGGATCCCGTAATTTGAGGGACTGAAATATGGCAGGGATCTCTGGAGCAATCTGGGAGCTTAATTTGGAATTTAACTTACTTTGTGGAGCGAGGCACTACCATATCGGAGAGGGACTCGTAGGTCTTCTGCCACTGCACATAGCTTGACCTTTGGGCAACACAGAAAAAAGCACAGTCGATAAATACAGTATACTAGGAAGCAAACGTGTCGATAGATGTAGTTAATTAAGCTAATGGCTTGGGGTAGGAGCTTGGAGCTTTTCAGGTTGGGTTATGTGATAAAGGTACTGCCTCTCCTGTCCTCTCCTGTTCTAGACACCAGCTGCTCTGAAGACAGAAAAGTTTCCCTCAGTGTCACACCCTTACCCACCTCAGCTTCAGTCTTGGCACAAGAAAGAGTCTAAAGCAGGAATCTGAAGATGGGAAGTGGCTGGCTTCTGCACACATGTCCAGGCTGCTACACAGTGTCCCATGCTCCAGGACCCCTGCATAAGATGCAGCTAGTCTGCAGGTTGGCTGTGCTACCTCGGTATGCACAGTCCCAGGGCTGATCTCAGGCTATACTGAAAACATAGGAAGTGCTGGCAATGGGAGAAAGGGGGTCGAGGGAAAGGTAAGGGTTTGCAAAGTGAGGAGTCTGTTTATGGGAAAATAAATCTGAGGTGACATTTATAGATAATAAACTCAAAAACTTACCTCAGCTTTTTGAAAATATTTTTCACAAACAGAAGAGTGATGTTATTGTATGTATGTATCTGTGCTGAGAAAGCGCTCTACTGAGAGGACAAAGCTTTGTGGAGGCTTCTAAAAAAGGACACCTTGTAACTTTGCCACTGACAGTGAAGGCAGTCATCCCACATGCAGGCATTTAGGAATACAAGACTGGCAGAGGCTCTGTGAGCATGGCAGGTCTAATCCTTTTTATGCACTGGCTAAGTTCCAGTAAAGAACTGCTTTTTTAATTTTTTCTTTTAACCCCTACTATTCCTACCAGGAGGCTGTTTGAGAACCCACTCTATAACAGTTAGAAACCTACTTCCCATTTCTGGTCTACTCTCAGTTTAAAGCAGTCTTTGTCTCTTTCTTTTGTGCCAGCACCATTGTTGGCAAAAAAGGTTCTTTTTTGTCTGCTAACAGATCCATTCATTCCCCAGACACATTGCAGATCAGCTGCTCCAACCTGATCCAATATTGCTTGGCCTGAAGTGTTAAGGCCTGAAACTGAATACCACACTTGAGCACATGTGCACACACTATAGCCTTACTTTGGCACTACGACTAGGAGTGTGATAAGATACTCAGAATTCAGAACAAAGTCTTCTTTATGCACAATGTCTGCTAGGGTCCGGGTCAGCAAATTTCCCCTACAGTGAACAAGACAAAGAAAAAATAACAATTAGCAGGAACCCAAACAGCAGCACACTGGAGGCACTGCACTGTAGGTACTGTTGCTAGGTATGTAGCAGTATATACTGGGGAAGGAGAACATGAGGAAGGAGGTAGCTAAAGGACGTGTCTACACATCTAGAGTGGCCATTGATTTATTTTTACTGTGATTAAAAAGAAAAAAAAAAGCAACTAACCCTAATGCAAGAATATTGGCAACTTGCACTAGGCTAGTTTATGCCCTTCCTCTATGTGAAATTGTACTATTCTGCTGCTATTGCTTTTACAATAAGGGTATAGATGCTGGAAAAGTGCATGTCTGAAGCTGCTAATGTAACCACACTTCAGTCACAGTAACCAATGCTAGTAAAGACCTAAGCCACCATAGCAAAGCTGGCATATCTTGACTGCAGTAGATGAGCTGTCACTCATATCAGCATGCAGAGACGACTTCCATCCAGCTCAGGACAGGGGGAGCAGCAGCCTCACATATGGGAACTGTGTGATCTGGGGAGGATGTCTGTTTGCAGCCTAAGCCCATTTAATCATATTAAGTCCCACTAGAGCTGCACACCTGGTAAGCACAGATGAGTGGGGCTAGTTGGGCATACCTAGCAAGGACTGGGGGTATATGGGAAGAGAGCAGCTGCCCTCCCTGTCATTGCCCAGTGGGGCAGGAGTGAGGAAGGACCAGCTTTTGGTTAGCTGTGCCAGTCTGAACAATAATTAACTGGCCAGTAACATCTCATTAGCTGTTTGTTAAATCTAAGCCAGCTGGCACAAGTTCACACCAGAGATGCCAGCATTTAAAGGCAGATGGCATTGTGAGAGGGAAATAAGGATTGTCAGAGGGATATAGCCCTGGACTACAGGGTCTTTGCTCTTTTCCCTTGCTACCCTCCCAGAGCCCTGGTGCTGGTCACATTCCTACACAGACCTCTCTCCAGGTGCCTAAAGCTGACATGGGAGTTGTGGAGCTGGGGAGAAGCTGCAGGAGTGGGCCAGGAACATAAGGGCTGGTTTCTAGGCAGGCCGCCAGCCAGGCTGCCTGCAGGGCGAGGGAGGCAGGAACCAACACACTGCCTAGAGCACAGGCCAGCGTAGGAAAGAATGACATACACGAGCATGCATTGGATGAGGGCTTGCACAGCATCTTTTAAGTTGCTCTGCATGAACTACTTACAGGAACAGTACAGGAACTTACTATTCCCCTCAGTGATACCCTGGAGAAAATCCAGATAACAGCATAGACATAGGTAAAGAGCACCAGCAGTTGAGAGAGGAGGGAAAACCTTTGGGAAGGCCTGAGTGAGCATTGCTCCCACTAACAGAATGAAATAAAGAAAAGAAAAACTAAGCGGGATGCTGCTGAAGTAGCCACAGCAAGGACAGAGAATAAATGCCTTTTCCTGGAATATTGTAAAGCTAACCTATCTGAAGAGCATTTGCAGACTCCTGTAGGGAACAGCTCTGAGTTGCAAAGGAATTCACCAGTTGACTCAGTTGATCTAATTGCTGACCCCCTGAAACCTTACCAGAGCAATGCAGGGGCATTTGGTTATGACTCATTCCCAAGACTGTCTGCTCACACTGCCACTAATATCATATTAGGAACTGCAGTCTCCCTCGAGCTGATTTTACAACATGCTGATCACACCAGCTTCCACCAATTTCACCAGCTTCCACCAATTTCCACAGGGTCTGGGAAGGCTTAGCATGCCCCAAAGCCAGACACTAAATTTGTTCCCATCGGAATACATGTGGTCCACCTCGAACAAATGAATGTGGGCATGCATTGTACTCAGTTCAGCCAGCAGAGATGGAGACAGTCGCCTGTTGTACATACACAGTTTTTTTTTCCAGGCTTTGCAAATTTCCTTTAATGTTGTTGTATGCAGCTGCTCGGGTCTTCAGGTCTGTTTCTATCTGAGTGATTTGCTAGAAACAAAGTAAAAAAAGCCATTCATCCAGGTGCTTGAGGTGCATTGCTCTCACCTTCCTGCCTCTCTACCTCTGAACTGTAAAGAAAGGACCTGACAGCTGTCAGAAGTCCCTTGTAGAACAACGTGGTTATGGCCAAGAGGGAGGCCAGATCTAGACACCACCGCGTTCCCCTGTGGCAAAGACCTCTTCAGAAAGTAGTATTCAGTTAGCTGTTACTACATGTATCACAGTTGTACCTAAAGGAGCAAGTTCATTGTTTCATATATTGCCTATATCGAACAGCAGATCATTCCTTCCCCAGTGCATTGAGAGTGTAAATAACTCATCCGACCTGCAATGTGTTTGATTTAACATAAGGCCAATAATTTTGCAAGAGAACTCCAACATGGAAAATAATACTGCAGTATCTAAAAACAATAAAATATTACAATCAAGGGGATTAAAATGCAGAAAGCATGTCCAAATCTGATGAAGTGCCATATATTTATGGAATGGATAGGTTTCAGTAGATCAGTATTATTACAGTAGAAATTAAAAAAATAATACCAGCTGCTTCAGTACATGATGTGTGTTTCTGAGCCTGTTCCTGCCCAAACCAAAGGCAAAACTCTCATTGACTGTCATGAGAGGAGGAGAACAAAAAATTCTAAGAGACACGATTCCCCATTCTGGTGCCTTTTGCCTTTTTAAAATTTAGAGTACGATTTAGGGTACAATTTACCTTTGCTAATGCTTCTGATATATTCCTCAGTGGCTGCTTTATGGGATATTTGGCCATGTCCCACTCAAACCGGGTCAGATAGCTGATTAGGTCAACTGAAACGTACAACAATTAGGTCAACAAAGAAATGTATTAAAGCAAGCAAGTTATTTTGGCGCAGCAGTCCCAGCTATAGCCTAGATATAACATTCATTAACATTAGAGGTGTATTCGGACCAGAAATCTGTCTCTGAATCCTCATAGAAATTTGATCCTGATCAAATATGCACAAATCATATTTCAAACCTGTAAAAACCTGAACCAGAAATCTAGCTTTTTTGCGCTACACTGTTAACACCGATAATGCAAAACTGCAGGACAAAGCAATGTGCATGTAGTCTCCACTGTAGAAATAGACACCTCAGTCTTGATGAGGGATTCAGTATGCCTGAATTTACTCCCAGCAAGAGCTATTAGAAAAATTATTCGGGTCCAGGTCCTGCAGTAATACTCAGGGTTGTTTAGAGCTCGATCCAAGATATTAATAGCACAGCCCCCCAAAACAAGTCAGTCTTGGACCACGAACAATCCTGGCTTCTTCCCAGAATCAAGGGAAAATGGCGCATAGGACATCCAGCTCCTAGAACAGGCTCTTGCTGTTACACTTCATTTGAAGACCAAGGCTCCTTAACTTCGGAAAATATTAAGGCTTGGGAACATTATGGTACCCAGCAAAAATTCTCCCCTAACAGCTCATGTAAGCAAACAGACAGCTCTTTGATTAGGCTGAGGCCTGAGACCCTTAGGATACCAAACACACTCCTACACAGTGTTTCCAGGCACTTTATGGGATGAGGTAAACTCAAACATCCTGCCACAACAAGCAGAGGGGCTGGGTCTGTCACCCTGCAGGTTAGGAAGGCTAGGCAAAGGAGCAGATGCTACTCTAGTGTCTGGACAAATAAGCTGGAGGCACCAACTCACACTAACAGGATGGGCTTGCTTCCAGCCCAGGACGGTGCACATGGAGAGTATCTGGGAAATTGCCCTGGGGAAACGGGGAGCAAACCAAGTTCAAGTAAACAGTGCTAAGTAAACAGAGAGGCATGCTGGGGCTACTAAGAGCTCTTTGCTACCTTGTCCAAAGAGTTGGTTCATGCAGGCAGCTAGGACTGAGCATGATTTCTTGTATCTGTTCTTCCAGGGCATGGCAAAAATTTTATGAAGTGAGTTAGGTGAAAAGGAACGTGATAAGTTGTTTAATTGCCAGACTACCAGGCTGAGGGTACTACACTGTGTGGTGTGACATTGAATACCCTTGGCAGGAGAGCTCTATCCTTTCCATGGGCTTCTCTCACCCTACAAGAGTCAGTTTACCTTATTAGATTTCCAAAGCATGGAAAGTCTTATGTTAGAAGGACGCAGGCTTCTCATCAAAGAATACCACTGTCCAGAAGGCAGAGAGCACTGGTGTGACTGAGTTCTCTCCCTCTTTCTTCCAAAAATGCAAACAGCCATGTAAACTTCCCACACATCCAATGCACAGGACTCACAGGGCAAAGATGCAGCCCTTCCTCCTAAGGTCTGAAGAGGGAAGATTCTCCTGCACAGGGAACGTGTGGGATGGGGGCAAAGTTTCAGAAGCCAGAGAGAGCTCTCCCACAGCCACTACATGCACAGTTCTGGGGCAGCCTTTGCTCACAGTCTCTGGAGAGAAAGGGGGGGAGGTCAGAAGAACCTGAAGGACAAAGACCGTGGTAGCATTTTCAGACTACGGTTTCAGTAGTCTTCCTGCAACAGTTCTGCTGGGGCCCTGTTTCACGGGGAGAGGGACACGATGTGGACATGCCTAAAGGATTTCACCCTGCTGCCTCTCTGCTAAGCTTTCTTGCTAAATTCAACAGGAATGAAACCTGCAAAGAGCATGGTATGAATGAAACCTGCATGGTATTACATGGCTGTGTGGAGGAACAGTGCATTCACACATACACTCTTTAAAGGCAGGCATCGACCTATCTATAGCTGAGGAGATCTGAAAGTTCCCTCAAGACATACACATGCCCTTTCTGCCCTTGCATTCCTTGAATCTCAACAGAATACAAACGTCAGGCACCTGTGCACAGCATGACACTAGTGATCTGGTAGTGGTGCAGGGAAGTTAAACAGCCTGATCTTGGGGATGGCACAAACTTCGCTTGTGTGAACACATTAACCGAACAGAGCTTAAAATACCAATCAGTACCAATATCAAAGAGCCCTGACACTCCTGGAATAGTATCCCTTCATTAATGGACCTTGTCAAGTCACTTCAAAATTACATTTCATAGCTGCCTATCCAAAAGAGATACTTTCTTACCCTACTGTGCCTACGGGCACACTCTGGTTTACTTACCTCACTGTAGGAGGCTATTTTAAATGTTTAAATGTTCCCCGTACAAAACCCTTTATTCTTCAAAATGGTCATGCCTCTCATTTTGATTTGTTGTTCATTCCAGTTTTGAGCTGATTATAAAGAATGGAGTTATTCTATTGATTATCAAATTTTTAAATTCATTTTGGGTTAACATCACTGTAAACGAAACAGAATTTGGTCTGAACCCTTGAAGAAAAGCTTTACTTACATTTCATGGTTTTGATTCCATCAGAAGCAAGAAAGCATTTCCTGCTGCTGTGATATTCTGAAATTCCAGTAATACACAAATACACATTCTATAAGAGAGACATCTGCATATGATTGCTTCCAGCTCTTGCCCACTGAGATGTAGTATGTGGGTTCACTTAACTGAAAGGGCTGTATTTTCTGCTACTTTGCACGTTCCTTCACACAGATCCAGCAAAACAGTTGTTAGACTGTCAGCCACCATTTGTCAGCATGTGGGCTGAACTGTTGTTGGGAATATATACAAAATGAGCTACAATGAGAGAACTTGCATAGTGTAACTTAAACTTTGAGTTGGGATGGTTTAATAGTCTGAAATGGGACCAGGCAGCAAGAGGTCATGTGTTATAATTTTGTTTCTCACTTTATGACCTTGAAGAAGTCTTCAGTTTTAGGGTCCTCCTTTCCTAACTGCAAAGGGGAAAGAGGAAGAACCCCTACAACAATGTTGTTGCTGTTTATGAAGAATGACATTGAAATGTATTAGGAGAATCCTTATGTACTAAAACTGACTCAATTTTTTTAACATGCAATCAAAAACAGTTGAGAGGTTGAAGTCTTACGAATCATTCAAATGATCAGAGGACAGAAATTAGTAACATGTACAGTCAAGTAATTTCCACATCCTTCTATTACAACACATGCAAAGCTGACAGGAAAGTAAAATGATGTAAAAAGAGGAAATAAAGGAAATAAGTTAAACCTGTTGTTTCTCAAGTCATAGGGATATCGTGATCAAGCTACGAGGTTGTTACTTGAGAAATCCATCGTAACCTGATCACTGTATCTCTACAACCAGACCAAGACTTGTCTCTAGCACTAATACACACAAATGCATGCTTGTAACAACACTGCAATCACCAATTCTCAACATACTTTTTAGACATTTCATTTTATCCTTTAGCCCTGAAACATAATAAGTGGGATTATTGTACTTATCAAGCAGTTGCATTGATCAAATGCCAGTCTTATTTAATGCAAGAAGGACATTTCTGAAAGAACTTCCTCTCTCCCTCAGATATTCATATTCATGCGAAATACAATATTACAGACAGTTAAAGGGTCTGATGCAGTATGCGCTTTTAGCTTTTCCTCTGCCTGTTAAAGGTATCACTCTACAGCCCTGCAGTAGCATGTGTAATGCACCCAGGTTCACTCTACGTTTCCAGGATAGCCGGGAAAAAACACACTCTTCAGCAGCTCTGACACACGCTCAGCATCTAAAGAAACGTGCAGAGATCACACACAGGGAGCCATCAGTTCCTATATATTAGTTTCGCCCTTGACAAAGACTCCCTTTAGGGCCTTGAGGATCATACTAAATGATGAAGGGAGAAAATAAGTTCATGGAGGTTATAAAAACACAGTTAGTCAACACTAAGTTGACTACTTAGTGATGATGCAAGTGTGGATACAGCAGAGTAGTTCTGCTCCCAAGGCCCTTTGTCGTGTCAGAAGTGCCTCTGCTGTCAGTGCCTGCTCTTGTCCTCTGCTATGCAACTGCTGCCAGCCAGGGCAGGACGTCATAAGGGAAACTAAAGTGAATTCACTCATGGCAGGGTAGCAAGTAGCATGTGATGTCCTGTCAGCCTCTGGCACAACCTTGTGAGGGCAGCCCAGGCTCCCCTGATGAAATGGTGTACAGACAGCGCACTGGCAGAGCCTTCCTCTTATTGCAAAGACCACAGAGAAATTATGTCCTGCTGCTTGTACAGGCCTGCAAAGAGCATTTCATTCACCTGCCTGCTGCTGAACAGCAGCGTAGTTCTACTAGTAGAGAAATTACATATGCTGAGTTATTTGCGTAGAAAGCTGCTCATGCCAGTCTTGATACGGCAACACTTTTAACACAGTCTTGCTGATCTTGCTGCTCACAACCAACTCAACTCCCCTTTAGAGGAAGTTTTCCATGTTTCAGAGCTGTTGCCTCACATATCCACCTGTGATGTCAGATAGACCCGTAGCTACCTGAGCACACGCTCTACCCCCCAGCACTGTAGGAGGGAAAGGAAATTGCTCATATATCACTGACAGATGTCATGCAACCGTACGAAATAAACTTTAGCTGCCTGTAAGTGACCAAGCCCATACAGGCCACAAAAAGGTGTTGAATTATTTCAGGAATGAAGGAGAATGTCTCCTGCTTTCTTCTTCACTCTTCAGGTCTGGTGCTGGAAGAATTCCTTCCATAAAGGAGTACTAGACGTTGAACATCATCCTGGAAGCAAAACTGGAATTGGATAAAACTTCCAATAACTGGAAAGAATGGAATCAGGCTTTAGATGTGTTTCTAAAGAGTCTTGCTGATGTTTGTCCTTCCTAATGTGTTTGCGTTTCGATTCTATATGTTCATATTCTGAAGCAAACACAGGCAGTAACCAAGCATCAAGATATCCACATTCATAGTACCTACCTCCATTGGCCAAAAGATTTTCCTGGACTTTATCTTTTGAGTCCTCCATAACTTCTCCAATGTACTGGGCTATTTTCTTTATTACGCTTAGGTGTAACAAGAGAAGCTTTGTTAGTGAAGAAAGTAAATGAATATAAAACAGTTGCCACGATTAGCTGATTAACATGGAGATACCCAAAGTATAATTTGTAACTGGAATGATGATAAATGACCTCTGGCATATTGCAGAACTAAATGCCTTATTTCTATATACACTCATCTCTGTAAACATATTCTAGGCAATATCATTTTCCCAAGGAAAATGGTGCTCTTGACTTTCAAAAGATTAAGATTCAGCCTTCTGTACACTATATTTCATGAGACTCATAGAAGAAACCAGAAGAAAAGAAACATATGTCAAAAACTCTAGAGAAGACGAAGGGTTTAGAGGCCTCACAGAATATTCCAAACTAACAATAGCTGAAAAAGATCTCTTCCATGGGATGCTACATAAATTTTTATGGCTGACTAAGATAAGGTTCTCACAAAGTACTTAGTGGAACATACGAGTGTTCTCTCATTTAACAGTGAGAATTTCCTTCTTACTCCACTTCTTTAGGGGATTCGCTTTCTCTCGTCTCATTCATCCCTCTCTTTTTTCAGGAAGAGCCGCAAGCTTGGATTTCACAAGGTATTCAGTAGATCTGAGCATAGGGTGGCTACAAGGGAGACCTGCACTGAGAGCCTGTGCTAGTGCTCTGAAGCCCCGACATTCTCAGCCTGCCTGGCTCCCTCATGGCACAGGTCCAGTCACTCCCAGCCCAGTGTTACAAAGAGGCTGGACCCACAAACTTCTTTCCAGGGTTTTCCCAGCCTCTGCCTCAGAGCAATGGATTTGACACTCCTCCTAAGGATAGGAGAATACTTTTCCCTTCAATTCAGTGGCTAAACCAAGCAACCCAAGCAAAAATAAAACCAGTCCTATTCATCAGTTACCATTTTTGTCACAGAGACTTCCTAGAGAATTCCTTTGGAATGTCTTTTGCTTTTTTACTAATAGCAAGATCTCTTTACAAGTAGGAAGAGGCAATTGTGCCTTTCATTACGCTTTTTAGTTCGGTGGACAAGACACTTCTTTAAGACGTGGGAAAACTAGATTCAAATCCTCCTTCTTCCTGATTCAGAGCAGGGATTTGAATAGAGCTTCAAGTGGAGAACATTCTCTCCACTGGGTTACCTATTCTATGGTTATTTTAAAAAATAAGCAAAAAAAAGGAATTGATAAGTCCCTCCAGGAGCACACCCCTATGACCCTAGTCGTAGTACCTGTTTCATAAAGGCTGAAGAACCGTTCTCATTGTTCCAGGATCTTTCTGTACTCAAAAGGATTTGCGGAAGTATTTGGCTTCAATCCCCTAACAGTTCCAGGTTGACTACACTTGGTAAATAAAGCAACAGATGAAAATAAACTGCCTGATCATAAAATTTTCAAAGACATGAAGTGCACACAATCTTCAGGTGGTGACATGAGGTGGAGCATAACGGCAGACTTCTTTCTCTTTTCTTTGCTTAGAGTGGGGAGACTACTGTGGTTGAAGATGTGCTAGACAATGAAAGGACATCTGCAGTGTTTGGGTCATGTGTCTTGTGACATCCTGTGGCATTCAGGGTATGACAATCATGGAATCAGGAAAGACATTTCAGGCCAGGTACAGATGCCATGAAAGCATTACAGAAAAACAGTTTCACTGATGTGCTGCAAAGGAGATTTATAGGCCATTTATAAGCAATAGGGGTTCACAGGGGTTGAGATTTCTCCCCATCTCGATTCCTGTGAAGAAACTATCAGTCTTTGGAAAGGTTTTCTGGTCTTGTGATGAGGAAGAAAAGACCAGTGATTGTTGATGCTCCCACAAATGTAGTAGTTAGAATTGCTGCTATTGTCATGACACCAGACAGATGCAGTTCAGAATCTAGGCAAGTGACTGATGCCCGAGATACAGCTCCCTCGTTCCCTGGGAGGAATCTGCACCATTTCACTCTTGCTTACTGCCATCTAAGGGCTGCTCTAGTTTTTCACTGACTGGCTGCAGCGACTTAGGGATCCTGTACCAGCTGAGTTTTCCTGGATAACTTTGCATTTTGCCTACACTCAGGCCGAGGAGAGAGCTCAGGAGGCAACTACAGCAGCTCTGTGTCAGCTGAGATCTTGCCAAACAAACACTTCTATAATTTTCAGCTTGCAGACCTGGCTGGTTTTCAGCTCCCTCATGATGCCTAGAGGCCCCAAAGGAACTTGGAACAAAACAAGACTCCAGCCCGCTTGGTGCAGTTGCTGGGGTAAGAACAGTAGCAGAAAGCTGAAGGTGCAATGGAGAAAGCAGCCAACAGGAAAGTGTTGGCTTTTTGCAACCAAAATGCAAACCAGCATTTTTTCTGATGGGTCTGAACTGCTTTCACTCCTGTTTAGTGCAGTCAGATGCTAACCTGATAGTTGGGAGACAGCTAGCTTTGGTCTCTCTGCCTAGGTGTGGACTGCAGGACAGGTACGGGCCCTGGTTCTGGTTGCAGAACTGTAGGCACCCTACAGTTCTGGTTGCCCAATCAAGACTCAGCCCCTTTCCAGCCCACATGCCCCAGCAGCCCTGCAGACAGGAGATGGTCTGCGTGTAGCTTCACATGGTGCCAGAGAAGTGCTCTCCAGGACCAATTTAGTTGCTGTGCCTCACATTTCTTCCTGTGAAATGCAAGTGGGGGTCACTCATCTAAGTCTGACTAGCTAGACTATTGTCTACCATCTATACAGGGAGAGGCAGAACATCCACCCTGAATACCACTGATGTCTGAGGCAGGTGAGAGGATCACCCCCCGGAAGAGCCTCATTGACTGTAGCAGCTACCAACCCTTAAACCTCTAAATTTAGATGAGATGAATCCCACTCTAAGCAAATATTATTCTCAAATGCTGTGATGAAAAATGAGAGTGTTTCTACTGAACTGCAGCTGAGTAATAGAAATAAAAACTTATAAACAGAACATGTGTAAAAATAAATCCTTGTAGCCTGTTATAGTGTCTGGAAAGAATCACACATTTTGCTTGTGAAAGCACTACAATGTCATTACCGGGAAAAAAAAAAGTCTCACGTTCTTTAAATGATACTGTGTATGAAATAGCTCTACCAGCTAGCCCCCATAATACTGCTGGGGGCAGCCACCGCGCAATCTCAGGACACCACAGAATGCTCTACAGACCTAGGGGCTGGGAGAATCCCTGGGTAAGAGTCACTCAGGGCATCGTGGGCTTCAGAGAGCACCATGCTACCATATGGTGACATGGAAAAACACTCTGTTTCCCCATGTAAATAAATAATAAAAGTATGTGGAAACAATAGACCCTGCAAACTCTTGCCTCTTCTCTGCTGTCCTGGCAGGAGGCAGTGCTGACAGGTTTGTGCTGCCTG